TCCAAGTACAGATTTACTAGTAAATTTTCCAAGTATCTAAAGAAGAAATATACTACTATTACACAAACTTCTCCAGAGAACAAGAAACAATACTTCCCAACTCATTTCAAAAGGCCAGCATAACTTGTCATAACCTAACAATGATATTACAAGAAAAAAAAAATTACAGACTACTCTCACATACACATACTTGCAAAAATCAAAAATGGAATATGAGCAAATCAAATCAAATGATGTATATAAAAAGGTTAACAAATCACAAATAAGGTGTATTTCAAGAATGGTGCTTTAACATTTGAAAACCAACATAGGATACTACATTAAAGAAAAAAGGGGAGAAAAATACCATAGAATCATCTACATAAACTCAGAAAAAGCATTTGATAAAACTCAGTACTGATTCAGGATAAGAAATAATGGCAGTAGAAATAGCAGAAAACTTTTCTATTCTGATAAAAGAGGATCTTTTTAAAAAAACTCTCAGTAGGGGTGCCTGGGTGGCTCAGTCATTAAGTGTCTGCCTTTCTGCCTTCTGCTCGGGTCATGATCCCACGTCCTGGGATCAAGCCCCATTCCGGCTCCCTGATCAGCGGGAAGCCTGCTTCTCCCTCTCCCACTCCCTCTGCTTGTGTTCCCTCTCTCACTATGTCTCTCTCTGTCAAATAAACAAATAAAATTTAAAAAAAAACTCAGTAAATATAATTAATGATCAAATATCAAATGTTTTTTCCTGAAGTTGAGAATGAGACAAAGGATGCCCTCTACCTCCACTTTTATCCAACATTATACTGAAGGTCCTAACTAATACAATGAAACAAGATAATATAATAAAAGTTAAAGGATTTCAAAAAGAAAAGTCACTGTTCACAGACAACATAGGAAATCCAAAATAATGCACATATAAATTACAAATAAGTGAATTCTGAAAGTGAATTTTGCAAGACTGCTAGACACAAAGTCAACATTAAAAAAGTAAACTATATTTTTATATACTTAGCAACAACCGTACAGAAAACAAAATCTGGGAAAAAACATAATGACACTAAAAAAAATCCAATACCGAAAAATAAAATAAGAAATGTGTAAGATCTGTACATTGAAAACCATCAAATATTATGGAAAGAATTAATGAAAACCAAGTGTAAGATAACCATATTTATTTATTAATTACAAGACTTAATACTGTAAAGATTTCAGTTCTCCCTAAATCAATCCATACATCTAATGGGGAAAAAAAAAAAAAAAAACCTAAATTCCAGTAAGTTTTTTTTGTTTTCTTGGTGAATATTGACACAGGAAAGAAAAACGGCAAGAACAACTACTCAGTCATGCAGAATATCATGGTAGAGAATTTCTACTACCTAATATTAAACTACAGTAAATAAAGTAGTGCAGAACTGAGCAAAGATAGAAAAGAACAAAACAGAGTTCAGAAACAGCCCCACGTGTGTATGATTACTTGATTCACAGCAAAGGCAACCCTTGCCAAGCAATGGAGGAAAGATGGTTCTTAAAACAAATTGTACTGCGAGAACTGAATATTTATCAGGAAAACAAATCTTGACCCCAACACCTCAAACCATACACAAAAATAAATTCCGAATGGATAACAGATCTAAAACCTGAAAGGTAAAAAACAGAAGAAAGCATAAAAATAATCTTCATGGATTTATGATAGGTAAATATTTCTTCAACACAACACAAAGAGCATGAGCCATAAAGGAAAAAAAAAAGGTAAACTGGACAATATTAAAAAAAAAAAAAGATTGAAAAAGTGAAAAGGCAAGCCATGATATGAGAGAAGTTATTTGAAATGTACATAATGAACAAAACACAATTTATTATATATAGAATATATACTAATAATTAATAAGAAAAAGGCAGTCAGGCAGCCCACTAGGAAAACATAAACCGAAAAAGAAGTAAACAGGTAAGTCATAAAAGAAGGTATCTAAATGGCCAATAAAAATATGAAAAGGTAATCAATTTCATCAAACATCACAGAAACTTAAAATTAAAATGTTACTTTTGCTCACCCACCAGAACAGCTAAAATAAAAGGGATAAGAACTAGTATCGGTGAGTATTTAGAGCAGCTGGAACTTTCACACAGTTAGCAGAGTGTAAATTATAACTCAGTACAACCACTTTAGAAAACTCTACTGCTATTAAAACTGATCACAGATATACTCTTTGACTTAGCAACTGTACACTTCGGTATATACCCAAGGGTTCATATGTACCAAAGACACATACGAGAGTATTCAAAAGAGCACTCTTTATATTAGTCTCAAAGTAGAAAACAATCCAAAAGTCTATGTACAATTGAAATAATAAGTATATGCATTGTGTTCTATCCACACAGTGGAATATTATACATCAATGAACATGTACAAAATCCATCTACATATATACCCACATGCAACAGTAAGATTAATTTCATAAACATAATGTTGCCCAAAGGAACACATGCTGTTCACATAAATTCAACAACAGGGGTAATTAATCCATGTGTTAGAAGTTCAGTTAATGACCTTCCTTCCCTGGGGCAGGGAGATAATGCCTGGGAGACAGGACAGAGAGTTTCCGGGGTGGTGCACTGGGATATGCTGGCTACATGGCCATGTACTTTTTCCAATAACTCACTTGGCCACACTTAGGATTTGTGCACTTTTCTTTATGTTATACTTTAATACAAAATTTACTTTTTAAATAGAAATGCATAATGCCAAGACAAACACAAGGTTTCACCAGAAACTCCTAAATGGAAGTCAAGTGAAAGCTTCCAAGTAGAAGTGAAGTGAGGTGAAGCAGCTCTTAAGTGCATGATAGTGTCACCCCCAAGATTTTTCATTCACTGTTCTAATGACTTGAAGTGTGATTTTATCTTAGTAGCTCAAAAAATCCAATCATTAAAAACTCTATTTGCTATTACCTCCTTCAGTATTGCTCCCTAAACTACCCCAACCAGAGGTTGATAGTTCCTTCCATAAACTCTCCCATCACCTAAGCTTACCCTCTACCTGCCATATAGTTAAATCTCTTCTGTAGGCTATATATTTTTAATGAGTTTCCAGTGCTTAACACAGTCTCTCTGTGATACAGTAAATATTCAAATTTGGATGAATAAATGACATAAATTCTCTTTTGCACAGAAACTTTTTTTTCCCATTTTAATGCAAGAATAATAAAATTTTAACTAAGAATCCACAAACCCAAAATGACAAATTAAGTCTGTGCCTAATCAAACCTGAAAAATAAATTGCCCAACTACCTCTTCTGTATCTTTTCTGTATTCTTTGCCAAAATCATCTGAGAAGAAATTCAGACACCCTTGCCCCAACTGGCAGCTTGGTAAGAAGATGACTAGGTAAATTCAACTTATTAACAGGCTAATTCTACTTGCTGAGTTATAGTGGTAGGCCCCATCTTTTAATAAGATCATTTCCTTAACTTAAAAAGTTCCATTACACAGTCACTTACATATTCCTAGCTCCTTTTTCTCTCTGAACATGTGGGGCCTTTTCCACTGGTAGATCCAGTGTATCTATGGTGAATTTAAACATGACTCTCTATGGGATAATGAGAGTTCAGGGAATGTTATGTGCTTTCCCAGTTCTCTGCTTTTATGTTATTCCCTTAATAAGCCCTATTTTACATTTATATTGCATGTGTTCATGAAGCAGTTCTCCCATGCCTCCTCTACCTGTCACAGTCCACAGATTTATAAAGGGACATTTACTTGCAACCTTGCTTAGAATCATTCCTTTGGAATGATGGAATGGTTATTTTATCACTCTTCCCCCCTATTTTATCAACCTTCATAAAGAATCACACTGTGTAAGCCTTACACTTTAGCTATAAAGAATTTTCATGAGATGAAACAAGAGCTCTCTTCATTTAGGTCCAATGACAACTCTAATCACTTCCACTAACTTCTCTACCAGCTACTCAGCTGAGTTTTATCTCCGATTATATCCATGTTACCAGGTGAATTACTACTCAGACTCTGGAGAATATATCTTTAGTAGTGTTCTGTTCCTGGTAAGCTTCCAGAAACCAGCTTTTCTGGAAATTTCTCCTGAGAGACAAACTTTCCAGAGACAGCATCTCCCCTTCCTGCATATGCTGTGACTACTAGTTTATTTACGATATTCTATGGAACTATTTTTCCTTCTTCCTTTAAACCAAGGGCTTGGCAAACTTTCTCTTACAGGGCCAGAGAGTAAAGATTTTAGGCTTATGGGCCATACAGTGTCTGGGGCAACTACTCAATTATGCTGTTATAATGTGAAATCAGCCACAGGCAACATGTAAACAAATGCACACAGCAATGTTCTAACAATGATTTATTTATAAAAATAGCCAGCCTGCCCATGGACCAAAGTTTGCCAATCCCTGCTCTACTCTTACAACTTCTGGTCTTCATATATCAGTATTATAATTACCTTGAATTTGTAAGGGTTTACTGACATTGGTGCTGAAAATTAAGTTCAATATATTTTATCAATTAAAACTGAGATCAATATATAATTGTTCTAGGAATATTTGTGATAATATGAGTTATAAAAAAAAAATTCTCATTATTTGTTGGTTAACCAGAAAATTTAAGTGGCTAAAACACATTTACTGATAACTGTAGTTAACTTAGGTATTACCTAATTATGAAAATAGAGGTGATAATTTACAATAATAATATATTAAAAACTAACAAATGAACAGAAGACTAAGTATACTATGATAAATCTACACAATGGACAGTGGTGGGACTACAGTGATTTTCTTTTTCCCTATGGTTTCTATAATTAACATCTATGATTTCTGTAATAAAAAAAGTTTCTTTAAAGCACACGATGACAAGCTAAAAGTGTTAAAATTTTTATTTAGTTTGAGAATAAAAATATTTAGACTTGAAATTAAAGAAAAATTCATTCTATCCTATGCTCCTCTTTAAAAAAATATATTTACATCAAAAATAAGTAAGTTAAAATTTTCATTTACCTGTCGGTTCCTTTCATCCATTATGCGTGTGATTTGAATTTTCTTCCGCCCCATTTTCAGTCACCTTTCCTTCCTTATATTCCAAATATTTAATTCAAAATTAATTTTCTTCAATACCCTAATGCATCGTACACAGCTTCTATTATTTCAGCTTCTAGTCCAAGGGCTACAGCTGAAATTTTCTATAAGATCTAAAAGAAAACACAAATTAGAAAATTTAAGTTCTATAAGTTTGCAAATCATGAAAATGTTATACAAATTTCAAACCTGCTTCTATGCTGCACATCGGCAGCCTTATTAGTTGAAATTCCTGGTTATATAAAATTGGTAGTTAAGGTGAAGCTTTGTTAACTTTACCCCTAAAATATCTCTTGAATCTTTTTGTGGCCTCTAGTTCTGGCTGAAAGAGTGCAATTATAACCTTTGAGTTTTTCTCAATGCATATAATAATAGCAACAAGAGCCAATGCTCATTGGGATTTTTCTATGTGCCAAGCACTTCTCTACGTACCTGATATATATTAACTCATTCAATCCAAACTGCAATCATTTTGGGTATAATTATCATCCCCATTTTATAAATAAGGACAATGAGGCAGAGAGATCCTAACTCTGTCCAAGGTAACACACATAGTAAAGGGCAGAGCTTGGAATATGAACTCAGGGACTCTGGTTCCAGAATTTCTCCTCTTTAATATTATAGAATATCCTTGAAAGCTTCTGATGTCCTTCATGTCAAAGAATGAACTAATAATCTAGGTAGCCCAAACTGCCTTTACAAACTATTCTTGCAAACTGCCCTAGCCACCACCAAAATTACTGTCAATCCAAAGGCACCATATGATTTCATAATAACGTCCACTTAAATGAAATACTGTTCCTTTTAGCCATTTAATAAAATTCTCCTAATCAATCAAGATTCAGTTTCCCCTGACAGAGTAAACCATAGCACCTTACACTTTGTGGCTATGTGTATAATAAATTCTAAGTCCGTTTTCCTCTGAGACTGTGAGTTCTTCAAGAACAGGATATTTTTATTCCATTTATCTCTGTAATTCAATGACTGGCAATGATACAATTTGTCATGTTCTGAATAACAGTTGTGTGAAAGACCTAGTGTTTTTTAAAACCTACATAATAAAGTATTTACAAGGGAATGGAAGACAAATACTAAAACACTCACAATAATAAATTCTCAGGGGAATTTTACTCAAGTATTTTTAATATTGTGCATATATAGCCGTAAAACTTTAAAAGTACTATGCATGGCGCCTGGGTGGCTCAGTTGTTAAGCATCTGCCTTCGGCTCGGGTCATGATCCAACGTCCTGGGATCAAGCCCCATGTCCAGCTCCCTGCTCAGCAGGAAGCCTGCTTCTCCCTCTCCCACTCCCCCTGCTTGTGTTACCTCTCTCACTGTCTCTCTCTCATCAAATAAATAAATAAAATCTTTAAAAAAATAAAAAAAGTACTGTGCAAATCCATGTTTGATTAAATCTGACTTTTGCTCAAAAGCAGTGAGTTTTTAAATTCTTATCACTACCATCATTACTATAAGCATGCATTTCTTACATATTTTCCCTTGTATTCTTTTATTTCTTCATTCATACAAACATTAACTGAACATCTATTAACTGATAACCTATTAATTGATCACCTACTTGCAAAAAATGTACTTCCAAACAATGAACTAGGCACACAGGGTAAAATGTTAAAAAAAAAAAAAAAAGCATGATTTCTGATCTCACAGAGTTCATAGTTGAGTAGGGGGAAATAGACATTAATCAAACTATCATATAAATGAGTCTGTACAAATTAAAATTAGGAACTTCATGTATCTGACCTAAATTCATAAGTTAGGGAAGGCTTCCTTAGGAATGTGCCTCATACCCAAACCTGAGTATGAGGGTGTACATGCTAGGCAGAGAGAATAGCATGTGCATGGAAGCAGGAAACATTAGAAAAACTGAAGGACGGCTAGTCAACTGGTGGGAACCAATCAAACAGCTGTGCTGTATAATGTTTTTGTTTTCTCACAAGACTGCAATATAAACCAATAGAAGTCAGCTTATTCAAATCATGTTCCCTAATAGATCACATTGCATTCAATTCACATTATAAAACTTGCACTGTAGTAGGCAAGATAGTCATACCTTTCAACACTAATGCCTATAAGGTGTATGTACCATATTTTCTTTTATAATCTGAAAATTCTGAATGTTAGATTATATCTGAGCATTTTGCTTTTGACAACGATTGAGCAGGTTACTTCAACCTTCTCTCTCTCTTTTTTTTTTTAAGATTTATTTCTTTATTTTAGACAGAGGCTGAAAGGGTGAGAGAGCACAAGTGGGGGTAGGGACAGAGGGAGAGAATCTTCAAGCAGACTCCAAATTGAGCACAGAGCCTGACAGGGCGCACAATCCCACGACAAATGAGATCACAACCTGAGCCAAAAACAAGAGTCAAATGCTTAACTGACTGAGTCACCCAGGAGCCCCAAACCAACCTTCTTCTAATAATGACAAAACAACAAGAAAAGTAATCTGTTCAAAACCACTGGAGAACTTTCAACACAGAATTGAAGGGCTGAGATCTGGAAGAAAGAAGTGAGATCACACTTCAGACTAATTTTCCCCCTAGTTATTAGTAGATTCTGAAAATATTGGTTGAGCCCCACGTCAGGTTCCCTGCTCAGCGGGGAGTCCACTTCTCCCTCTTCCTCTCCATCTGCCCTTCTACCCATTGTGCTTTCTCTCTCATTCTGTCTCTCAAATAAATAAGATTTTAAAAAATATATATATATTAAAAAAAAAAACAAACTCAAAAAGCATTGGCTGAGAGGCTGAGAAGCTAAACAGAGCTTTCAACAGATCTATGGGTGGGACACAAAAATAGATTCAGGGCCTGCCAAAGAATAGCCCCAGTAAACACACCAGGAATCTGGAGGGAATCCAAAGGACTATACCCTAGGTATAAAGGTAAACTAGAAATAGACCAGGCCAACAAGGAGGAAAGTGTAGCTTCAGATCATCTCAATCCCTGATTAGGTTAAGGTAATCTGGGCTACCTAGTGTCATTAGCCTAGCTGCATGCCAGTAAAAACTTCTGAAAAGATTTTAGCAAAAGTAAATCTTACCAGCAAAAGATAACATCATCTAGAAATTCAAATGATCTTATCATTTTTTATACAAAATGCCTAAAAATAAAAAATAACCAGTCAAGACCTGACTAAAAACTGAGATTTTAAAATGGCAATACAATCAGACCCATAGTAGATCCAGGTAATGGTGTTATCAGAAAAGAACTTTCAAATAAGTCAATGTGTTTAAAGAATTAATAAAAAAGACCATTAGCAGACAATGTTAAAAGTATGGAAAACAAAGAATTGAAAAAAACAATTTTGAAAACAGAAAATAAAAAATTGATGATGAGTTTAATAGATTAGAATACAGCTAAAGAAGATCCAGAAGACAGGAAAGAGGAAAATACTTACACTGACGCCCAAAAAGACACAAATTGGGAAATACAGAAAAGAGTGTGAAAAAATTATGACACATGGATCCAAAATACATGTAACTGGAGTCCCCAAAAAGAAGAGAAATATTTAAAGACATATAGTTAAAAACTTTTTAAAAACTTACCAGTGGCGGGGGGGGGGATGAGGAGGAAAAAAAAAAAAAAAGACATCAAGCCACAGAACCAAGATCTACAAACTCCCAAGCAAAACAAATACAAAGAAAACCACAACCTAAAGCATATCAGAGTAAAGGGGGTGAATGGAGGGAAAGAGAGAGAGACAAAGTGACAGAGACAGCCACAGAGAGATCTTAAAAGTAGCCAAAAAAAGAAACATTAATCTTAAAAATAGTAAGATTTGTAGTTGACTTTTTCACATAAATAATGGAAGTCAGTAGACAATGAAATGATACCCTCAAAGTGCCAAGAGTGGGAGAAATACCAAACTAGAATTCTATATCTGGCAAATAATACTCTTCAGGGAAAAGAAAAAAGGCAAAATACAAACATTTGTAGTCAAATAGAAACAAAGAATTTAACAACAAAAACACTGAAGGGATTTCTTCAAGTAGAAAGAAAAAAGGATCCCAGACACAGCTTGGATATTGCACCAAAAAGTAAGTAAGCAAATAAATAAGTAAGAATAAGGAACAGGGTAAATATGTAACTCCAAGTGAATACTGACTAAATATAATAATACGTTGCAGAGTTTAAAATATTACAATGCACAACAACAGTACAATACCGTAGTAAATGAAGTTAAAGTGTTCTAAAACCCGTCCATTTAATGGGAAATAGAAAAGGTACATTTTTACTTTTTGCACTTCAATTCAGAAATGCATGTAAGAACAGTAAAAGTACATACAGCTAACAAGCTAATGGAGGGGGGAAAATGAATTAATAACCCAAATTGTATTTTAAAAAAACCAATTTGATGATTACAGAAGTACATCTTAAATGTGAGTATATAGAAAGAATGAAAGTAAAAGCCTGGAGAACATACCGTGTAGAACACAAATCAAAATGAAGTTGTGTACCTATACTTTATTACAGTACATTTTAATACATGAAATAAATACATGGATAGAGATACAGCAGGACACTTCATTACAGTAAAAATTCAATTCACCAGAAAGAACTAGCAATTCTAAATCATAATATACCTAATAACACTTAAAGTCAGGAATCTGTTCCTTAAAATCAGATATTCTGTGCAAAATCCTAACTAGGACTTTATTTTCCATTATTTTAAATAGGAAAAATTATGTTACATATAAACTCATAATCCCCAATCATTTCTCTTTTAAAACTGAACTGAAATACAGAAAATGTCCACTTATAATAGGAAATTATCATGGTTAGGATGTAAAATAGTACATGACTTCAAACGCAATAGCGTTCTCACTGGCTTTGTTTCCTTCTCCACGATTTAACACTTTCCGTGTTAAAAATAACTTTTTGTGCTTTCTACAAATCTAAGCAAAATTAAGGGCCAAATACAAAAGGCAATTAGAAACTTACTCAAGACAAACACATATGGCAGATAACAGCTCAAAGCCTTATAATATGGTAACCTCTTTCTTACTGCCAGAAGCAAGAGACACACATTCCCTCTGCTGACAGCACATGCTTCAAAAATGTCTACATGTGACTCTAATGTTCTACAAATTGGTT